TTATGGTGTAAAATAACCGCCCAGAAAAGAAAAGGTGCTCTGAAATTGTTCTATTTTAAAAAAGTTGTATTGATATATCTACTGGCCAAACATCAAACGGTTAACTCAATTTGAGCGGAGCCAAAACCTGATCCAAAGGCACCCTTCCATTTTTTGGCCACCTCTTCTTCTGTGCAGTCAATTTGCCCAAAAGCTGAACAAATTCAAAAGCTTTTTATATCAAAACGTAGAGGAGATCTTCAGCTTTCGAATAATACTCATATATATCTTTTTCTTGATTTCGGCATCTTGAGAAATTTGCAAAATAGTAAAAAACGCGCATTCATAACTGGACAACCCAATAGAATACAAACTGAAACAAACAAATTGAAAGGATTTTCGTCAAATTTAAAGAATAAACAAATTTTGAGAGTTTAAATGATAGAATTTGAGTATTTGATAGAAAAAGGCATAAAAGTTGGGGATTTCCCTTGATTTATGTTTATGTTTACGTTTAAAAATCAAATATTCAAATTGATTATACAAATTGATTTGTATAATCCGAAAAAGATCTAGCAAAAATGAAACAAAAAATAGGCGAAACCGTTTAATCATAGGTTTTCAAGAAAATGAGCCAACACGTATTGGTCGTAACATTTTGTGGAGAAGGAGGAGTTTCGTTCTGTTTCTGTCATTAACGTTCTTCGGCAATCTCTATCAAAAAAATGCCTTTCTTACACACAATGCAGTAATTTTTGAACAGAAAATCAAAGAGAACTTAAAATTCCCAGATATCACGCCTAAAGGTGACCAATCCAGACCAATCCAGACCAAATACAAACGTAAACTACAAAAGCTTCTAACTTGCTTCAAAGCTGTCTGATTGAGATGATCTATAGCTCAAAAAATAGAGAATTTCAAGAGCTTTTGAATGATCTAAAGCACATCCAAAGTATCAATGCCAAAGAAAGTTACAGTGGTTTATAGGGAAATGGACCGTACTCGCGCGTGGTCAGGCTACAAACCACTATAACTTTCTTAGCATTGATGTAAATTAGACTTTCACATGATCCAAGAAGATTTCAGAAACATTTTCGATGTTTCAAAGTAAGCAAACGAAAGGTGTGCAAGCTTATAAACATTGGCTAACATTTACAACAAAATTTATGATTTAAAATCGTTTTTTTGACGTATTTTGTAGATTTCCATGCTCAATTTTTTCCGGAATGTCTCATCATTTTCATGTGTTTTGTCTCCGTGAAAAGAGGAAGAGAAAAAAATCGGAAAAACAAGAAAAATGGATATGGAGAGGGCATTTTTAGAAATCCGCCCACTGCAAATTTTTGGAGATGAATCAAATGTTGGATGAATGATGAAAGGTTGAGTTTTTTAAAAGGTGAATAATTTGAGACAACGATCGCAAACCTTTTCTTCAGTTTCTATTATTTACAAGTCGACTCCAAGATGCGATGGCGGCTTCTATTGGGTTAATGGAAAGTCCTTTCCGATTTTTTGGGAGAGTACCTTAAATTTGTCGAATTTTGACGTTTTATAGCTCATCCTAAAGCTGAATTCAAGACGGATCGATTGGTAAAAACCGTTTTGAGATATCTCTTTTCTAAAAGTTTTTACAGCTATTTTAGTAAAGGGCGGCAGAGCCAAAAAATGGCTGTTTTCACGTTTCGTTAGTTTTCCGTGCAGAAACCTAGAGGCTAAAAACATGTGTTTCGTGATCGGCCTCAAAAATAACCCCTAGACACGCATTTTCAGAATCTTAGCAAAACAATTTTGAAAAATATTGCCACCGGTGGAAGTCGAACCAGCGACTCTCAGATCAATAGCCTTTCCGCCGCTTTTCGCGATTTTCCTTCGTTTTTCTTGTTTAGAAAAAGAAAAAAGTTGTCCAGCCAAAGTTCGCATAAACAAAACAAAATTTAGGAGATGAATCAAATGTTGGATGAATGATGAAATGTTGAGTTTTTTAAAAGGTGAATAATTTGAGACAACGATCGCAAACCTTTTCTTCAGTTTCTTCAGCTTTTACCCGTTCTACTTGATCTTTTTTTTCGATTTTCAATTCAGAGTTTGATTCCTCATCGAATTGAATCAAAATTAGGGAAAATAAACAAAATCTAAAGAAAACCAAAAACCATTTGTTGAGGAAAACGGTAGAAAAGCCGAGTTTCATTCAGAAGGAGATTCAGTAGTGGAATTGATGAATAAGAGGAGAACACAAGAAGAAGAAGAAGAAGAAGAAAGAAAGAAATAAAGAAAGAAATAAAGTAAGAAAGAAAGAAAGAAAGAAAGAGTTTCCCCAAATCCTCAACTAAAAATAAGTTGGCTTAGTGCTTGAAATTGCTTATTTTTGCGTAAATACATTATTTTCCTTTCAAAAGCCTTTTATTCTTTTCATGTTTCAAGTTTATTAAGACTGAAGTAAAAATGCATCAATAGTTATCACAGAACGTGAATAGGGAAGAAAATAAGTAAAAATTTGAACCTGTTTTGTTTATAAATAGATATAAATAAAAGAAAAATAGATGGAAATGACAAGAGATTAAATGGGAATCGGAAAACTACCTTTATCGGCAAATTTAGAGAAAAATCGAGAAAAAAATTGGTGTCAATTCGAACTTTTTATTCTTTTGAAAAGATTTTCTTTCGGAAACAGATCTATCAACTTTGTCACCACCAATTGTAAATCGATATTTTCTCAGCAATAAGCGCACCAATTCATCTCTACTTTGTTTCATTAGATAGCCTAGCATTTGATTTAGTAAAGCTTAGTAGTAGTAATTAGTAAAGGTATTTAGTAAAGCTTAGATTTAGAGCTGAACGAAATCAAATCAATTTCCTCTAAATTCTAACTTTCTCTGCCTTCAGCGAATGGAGATTTGTCAAATGCTAAAGGACAGAGACGTCTATAAGCTAAGAACAAATAAAAAATCTATTTAGATCATCTAAATTTTAATCAGCTTGGGGTTGTTGAGATATTGGGTTGGTGAATTGAAAACTGCCGGACTTTGAACTAAAATTTATTCAACATAAAACCATCAATTCATTCGAAATAATTTCCATTATTATTGACGACTTCTACCCATTTTACAGGCAATTTGCGGATTCCTCTTTCGTAGTAGGACTTTGGTTTGTGTGTGAGACAAGTGTGAGACTCAAAAATGGAGGACTGGAGATGTCCCAGTGACCCAGTTTGAGCATTTTCTTCAAAAGAAACCCATTTTGGTGTCAATAGAAAAGTTGTAGTGAATCAAAAATGAGGCTTATAGCCAAAGTTCCAAAAAGACACACTTAGTAGTTTCGCTTAAAATGCAAGTTTTGTGAAAATTTGTAAATTTGGCATTCCTTGAAAACCAGTTTTTGAATCGTTATGAAAATTTGGATATAAGCTTCATTTTTGGTTCTCTACAACTTTTCCATTGACACCAAAATGGGTTTCTTTTGAAGAAAGTGCTCAAACGGCGACATATGCCAATAACCCGCAGTTTTCAATTCACCAATCCAATAGTTCAAAAGGGAATCCTTCTATACCAGAACAATTTGCCGGATGGCGATCGATTACGCATGCACACAAAGAACACCTCGGCAGTTGTTTTTGATATAAGCTTCATTTTTGATTCTCTACAACTTTTCCATTGAAACCAAAATGGGTTTCTTTTGAAGAAAGTGCTCAAACTGTCACATATGACAATAGTCGGCAGTTTTCAATTCACCAACCCAATAGAAAAGCTTAATTTCACGAAATTTTAGTACAATGCCCAAGAATAAAACCCAGTTGTGACCGGGAAAATGAAAAACGATAAATTTCCCAGCCGATGCACATCATTGGATGAAGAAAGGAAATCCCGAAAAAAGGCAAATGGAATTTTGAATGCAAAAAAGAAATGAGTGGGATTTTGGGAAAAGAATGGGCGTCATTTTTGAACAAAAACCTGGATTTTCATACCCAAAACACTCAAAAAAACCAATTAATGGCCGATCGTCTGTTCGATCGATCGGCTAATCCTTCTCGAATCCGATAGGTTTTCGTTTGATATTTTCAAGAATACGTATAGGTCATTCATTTTCTGCGTAAACGCATGACTTTAGCGTTATTAAATTGTTTAACGTTGATTTTATCGCATTAAGGCTCGAGTACAGTTTACGCTTGACTTCCCCTACCGTTGTTGACCCCATGTCATGGGGTCAACAACGGTCAACAACAAACAGGTCAACAACAACGGCCCAAACGGTTAAAATCGTTAAAACTGTTTAAAAGGCTCCCCTTGTGGCTAAAGCGGTTTAAATTTGCATTTAAAGCACAAATTTTCGTATGAAATGGCTTTTTCTTTGAAATTTGAAATTGAAATTTTATATTTTCAAATATATTGTGGCTATTCGGGTTGCGGAGCAGTGGGCGGGGCCTCAAAATGCCTCTGGCAAGCCAAAAACACTTTTTCTAGGGTTTCTGGCCACGCTAAATCGATTGGTAATATTTTCAGAGCTTCTTCTTGCTACACTACGCTTACGCTAGACTATGGCTCAGAGAACTGGCTGAGCATAGGCTTGGTGCTGCCTCGAGTATTGTTAAGGGTATAGTCGTGTTACGTACCTCCCTCTTTGCCGCTCCCGCGTTGTTCGCGTGTTATTTCTTTATTTACTATGAATCTTAGTCGAAAGCCTAAAAGCTTTTCTTTAAGATAAATTAAAATAAATCTTGAAAAACTTCTAATCTTCACTTGTTTTCCATTCAAAAATCACCTAAAACTTTCAGAGAATTGCTTCAAAACTCTTTTAACTCTTTTTTTTTTGTTAATAATGTAGTTTGTTTTGAAATTTTCTCATAGCGACTTGTCGATTTGTCGCGTTTATTAAAGCCATTTTAAAGCGAAACGCAAATTTTTCCAGAAAATCGTTTATTCAAGTATTCAAGTCATTCATATTTACACGCCCAAAAAAAGATCGATAAAGTTAAGTGATTAAAATCGTAAACTAAACCCGTATAAGAATTTGTTCTTTATTTTTCATTCTATATCGATTTCACATCGATTCCACAATGGGAGAGCCCTTTCTTTTGGCAAAAGAGCGCCTAATGACGAGGAGAAAAGATCGGGGATCAGTGAGGGAAGGGAACGATGGACTGCCAGGCGGATGTCTTCTAGCTGAAATTTGGATTCCTTTTCAAAGATAATCGTGATGGGATTAGATTTTTGTATACCATATTTTCTCTAATAGTAGTGCACCAAGAGCGTTGCCTAATTTGCTCGAAATCTCGAAAAGCGCATGCTTAAAATTCTCTCTAATACAGTGCGTTTTAAATTCTTAAACGCACCCTCTAAAATAGCGAATTTTGCATTTTGACCACCGCTACAACTATTAATCTTTTTCTATTAGAAAGAGCATGTCTTAAAACCTAAATAACACGAAAAATAAGCATACTGTAAAAAGTAAAAATTTTGCACCCTGAGCCTTGCCTAATTTGCTCGAAATCTCGAAAAGCGCATGCTTCAAATACCGTATTCTCTCTAATATTAATGCACCCAAGCGAGCCGAGTTGATAACGATTTTACCGCTTCCAAAGTTTTCACAGAAGCTCAACACTCAAATCCCCCACAAGATCTCATGGTCAGCTACATTTTCCGACCCCATATCGATAGGTTCTGATAAGCGGTTCTCTAGATTTCGAGCAATTTAGGCAACGCTCCGGGTGCACGATTATTAGAGAGAATACGGTAAAAGAGATAAGCCATTGACCATTCGACGCAGAATTTCACGCTGATTCCGAATCGGCTTTCCGTTTTTGCGTTCTTTCGAATCGGCTTTCCGTTCTGATAAGCGGTTCTCGAGATTTCGAGCAATTTAGGCGACGCTCAGGATGCACTACTATTAGAGAAAATACGATATTTAGAGATCCATACAGTTCTTTTAATCGATTTCCTAATTTCTTTTAATCGATTTCCATGTCTCCTTTCTATCGTAATCTTGTCTTCAATTTTTATCGAATCTATTCACTTTTTAGCTCTTTTAATATGCTTTTTTAGAAGAATTAGTGCTAAAAAGTGAATAGATTTGATAAAAATAGAGATAAGATTGAGAAAGATGGAAAGGAACACGATTAAAGAAACGATTAGAAAACGATTAAAGATACTTGAGATTATGGCCGATAAATCTTTGAACACTTCATTGAAATACCTATTTAGAAATAATGAATTCATCCATTGCCCTACGATTTGTTTCATTAGAAAACCCTGATATTTTTCTATAAAATATCGTTGAAATTTTAAGAAATCTTTGTTTTTTTTTTTGTTTGGAGGTGCCAACTCGACTCGATTACTCAATTTCGACACTTTGGCCTAAAGAAACCCCTTTTGATGTCAATAGGAAAAAGAAAAAAGTTCAGCTTATAGCCAAATTTTTAGAATAAACTCTTCAGCCAATGCCTTTATATCACCTTTTCTCGAATTTTACGCAAAACGGGTTTATGCGGGCTTGGATTTACCTGGAAATGGGCTCAGATTAGCGTAAAGAGATAGAAAAGTGCTTAACCTTTTATTTAAACATCTTTTATTTAAAGAAAATTGGTAAACTTTTTAATTTATAAATATTTATAAAGAAATTGATAAAAAAGTCTTCAAAGATTTATCGGCTATTCTAATATTTTTGAGAATTCAGGTGAAATTTGAAACAGAAAGGAAACTGAAAGGTTGGAAATGCAGGAATTTGAGGGTAATTCTTCATATACGAGAGCTTTTCTAAGCTTTCGTTTGTCTTTATATTCCAAAAATTTTATTACCTGATGACATCCAGACAACACCAACAACGTCTTCATTCCGTGTTTTCTTCCAAATAAAATATCAGTATTCATTCGATCGCCGATCATCATCGTTTTTGATGGATTGATCTTCCAGCTGGAAATTGAGAAAGTTTAAACTCTTTATTTTACGGAACATTAATAAAGTGTTCGACTAATCTTTTTAAAACAATACCGTTACTCTTTTTCTTTTAAAAATCGACTCACCGCCGACAAATATAGTTGAACGAGGCCGAGTTCGGCTTCCCAACGGTGATCGGCTCACGTCCAGAGGCACATCTAAAAACGGTTTTGTTTAGTGTTTATTATGCATCACGATGTCAATAGAAAGTTTTAATTTTATGACAAAAGTCTCATGATGACTCAGAAATATCATGTAAATCATGAAATCGGGGAAAAGTGACAAAATATGAAAAATTTGCCCGACCAAAATCTTCACTTTCGCACCACAAGAACCCCCAGAAGCCATTAGAAATTCGGAGAAGCTGAACTGACTTTTTTTTAAACACCCTAGGCCCTTTCCACAGGCGTTTCTAGGCAAGCAACAGCGCAAAAGCAACGGCGCAAAAGCAACGGCGCAAAATCAACGGCGCAAAATCAACGGCGCAAAATCAACGGCGCAAAATCAACGGCGCAAAAGCAATAGCGCAAAAGCAATAGCGCAAAAGCAATAGCGCAGAAGCAACAGCGCAAAAGCAATAGCGCAAAAGCAATAGCGCAAAAGCAATAGCGCAACAGAGCAATAATTTTGTAACAAGTAACTTAAAGTTGTTAACGTTGCGCGTATTGATAAGTGTTTTTCATTTTTAGTAATTTTTTATGGATCCAATTAGAAAATTTCTTTCGTTTTTCAAAGTTAGCTTAGTGAAAACGAAGATTTTTATTGATAACGATTTGAATTTAATCAGGATTGCCTCAAAGTTTCCTTGTTTCAAACAAGGAAACTTGTTTGGGCACTGTATAGACGTGAAAAAGTTGAATTATTGTATAGATAGACAACGAAATATAGATTGAAAATAAAATTACAAATATCAGACAGTAAATTCGAAACTTTTGTTACACTTTTTACCCGTTCTTACTTTTCTTTTCAAAAATTTTTTTGTTCATGTTTCAAAATTTGGTGGGGATAAAGGAAATTTGAGTGAGGTAATTTCAGTTACGTCTGACTCTCAAAATCATTCAAACATTGAAACGCTTGAATTTAACAGCGAAACGGAAAGCCGATTCGGAATCAGCGTGAAATTCTGCGTCGAATGGTCCATGGGTTATCTCATTTGATCAAATCCTACTAAAATAAAAAAGCATTCGTTTAAAAAATGAAATAACAAATATTAGCCAAAAAAAGGGAGATTTAACTTTAAGAAATGAAATTCTTTTTTGTGTTAAAAATGAAATACTAAATTCGTGATACTTTTACACGGGTCGAGTAGTTTTCAGAAACGTTTTCAGAAACGTTTTCAGAAACGTTTTCAGAAACGTTTTCAATGTTTCAAAGAAGTTAAGCCAAGTTTCGGTACAGTTTCCCCCTCAATTCGGAAGACTTAAGTGGTTTTTCTGGGGTAATTTTGTGCGTAGAATCCGAATTTCAGTATCCCAAGTGCGGCTGAGGCGTTTTTTTCAACAAAAAATTGATCACAAAAAAGAAAACGTTTAAGATCTAGTTGAAAATGAGCTTTTGAGCGGGCAATTTCAGAAAAAAAGCCATTTCATACGAAAATTTGTGTTTTAAATGCATTTTGATGTTTCAAAATTTGGTGTGGCTAAAGGAGAGTTGAGTGAGTTAATTGCGACGCTCAAAATCGTTCAAACATTGAAAACGCTTGAATTTAACAGCGAAGCGAGCGAAACGGAAAGCCGATTCGGTATCAGCGTGAAATTCTGCGTCGAAATTTCAGAGAAAAAGCCATTTAATACGAAAATTTTGGGTTTGAAATGCAAATTTTAACCGTTTTAGCCAAAAGGAGAGCCTTTTTAACCGTTTTAACCGTTTGTGCCATTGTTGACATGGGGTCAACAACGGTAGGGGAGGGGAGAGTCAAGCGTAAACCGTACTCGAGCCTTAATGCTAGTAAATCAACGTTAAACGATTTACTAACGCTAAAGTCGTGTTTTTACGCAGAAAATTAATGATCTATACGTAAAAGCAAGCATGAAAAGTCGTGAAAACTTCTTTTTAAAGTATTTTCCAAATTTTATGCTCGATTTTTCGAAGTTCAATCTCAATCCTGACTTTGAAACATTTCCCTCAACATTTTCGTGTTTCAAAGTAAATATTGGGTTGTCCAGTTATGAATGCGCGTTTTTACTATTTTGTAAATTTCTCAAGGTATCGAACAGATGTATATGAGTGTTATATATCATTCGAAAGCTGAAGATCTCCTCTACATTTTGGAATAAAAAAGTTTTTGAATTCATTCAACTTTTTGGGAAATTGACTGCACAAAGGGAGAGGTCGTTTTCGAAAAAACCCATTCCGGCTTAGCTATTCCTCAAGTTTTATGGTGTAAAATAACCGCCCAGAAAAGAAAAGGTGCTCTGAAATTGTTATATTTAAAAAAAGTTGTATTGATATATCTACTGGCCAAACATCAAACGGTTAACTCAATTTGAGCGGAGCCAAAACTTGATCCAAAGGCACCCTTCCATTTTTTGGCCACCTCTTCTTCTGTGCAGTCAATTTGCCCAAAAGCTGAACAAATTCAAAAGCTTTTTATATCAAAACGTAGAGGAGATCTTCAGCTTTCGAATAATACTCATATATATCTTTTTCTTGATTTCGGCATCTTGAGAAATTTACAAAATAGTAAAAAACGCGCATTCATAACTGGACAACCCAATAGAATACAAACTGAAACAAACAAATTGAAAGGATTTTCGTCAAATTTAAAGAATAAACAAATTTTGAGAGTTTAAATGATAGAATTTGAGTATTTGATAGAAAAAGGCATAAAAGTTGGGGATTTCCCTTGATTTATGTTTATGTTTACGTTTAAAAATCAAATATTCAAATTGATTATACAAATTGATTTGTATAATCCGAAAAAGATCTAGCAAAAATGTAACAAAAAATAGGCGAAACCGTTTAATCATAGGTTTTCAAGAAAATGAGCCAACACGTATTGGTCGTAACATTTTGTGGAGAAGGAGGAGTTTCGTTCTGTTTCTGTCATTAACGTTCTTCGGCAATCTCTATCAAAAAAATGCCTTTCTTACACACAATGCAGTAATTTTTGAACAGAAAATCAAAGAGAACTTAAAATTCCCAGATATCACGCCTAAAGGTGACCAATCCAGACCAATCCAGACCAAATACAAACGTGAACTACAAAAGCTTCTAACTTGCTTCAAAGCTGTCTGATTGAGATGATCTATAGCTCAAAAAATAGAGAATTTCAAGAGCTTTTGAATGATCTAAAGCACATCCAAAGTATCAATGCCAAAGAAAGTTACAGTGGTTTATAGGGAAATGGATCGTACTCGCGCGTGGTCAGGCTACAAACCACTATAACTTTCTTAGCATTGATGTAAATTAGACTTTCACATGATCCAAGAAGATTTCAGAAACATTTTCGATGTTTCAAAGTAAGCAAACGAAAGGTGTGCAAGCTTATAAACATTGGCTAACATTTACAACAAAATTTATGATTTAAAATCGTTTTTTTGACGTATTTTGTAGATTTCCATGCTCAATTTTTTCCGGAATGTCTCATCATTTTCATGTGTTTTGTCTCCGTGAAAAGAGGAAGAGAAAAAATCGGAAAAACAAGAAAAATGGATATGGAGAGGGCATTTTTAGAAATCCGCCCACTGCAAATTTTTGGAGATGAATCAAATGTTGGATGAATGATGAAATGTTGAGTTTTTTAAAAGGTGAATAATTTGAGACAACGATCGCAAACCTTTTCTTCAGTTTCTATTATTTACAAGTCGACTCCAAGATGCGATGGCGGCTTCTATTGGGTTAATGGAAAGTCCTTTCCGATTTTTTGGGAGAGTACCTTAAATTTGTCGAATTTTGACGTTTTATAGCTCATCCTAAAGCTGAATTCAAGACGGATCGATTGGTAAAAACCGTTTTGAGATATCTCTTTTCTAAAAGTTTTTACAGCTATTTTAGTAAAGGGCGGCAGAGCCAAAAAATCGCTGTTTTCACGTTTCGTTAGTTTTCCGTGCAGAAACCTAGAGGCTAAAAACATGTGTTTCGTGATCGGCCTCAAAAATAACCCCTAGACACGCATTTTCAGAATCTTAGCAAAAAAATTTTGAAAAATATTGCCACCGGTGGAAGTCGAACCAGCGACTCTCAGATCAATAGCCTTTCCGCCGCTTTTCGCGATTTTCCTTCGTTTTTCTTGTTTAGAAAAAGAAAAAAGTTGTCCAGCCAAAGTTCGCATAAACAAAACAAAATTTTGGAGATGAATCAAATGTTGGATGAATGATGAAATGTTGAGTTTTTTAAAAGGTGAATAATTTGAGACAACGATCGCAAACCTTTTCTTTAGTTTCTTCAGCTTTTACCCGTTCTACTTGATCTTTTTTTTCGATTTTCAATTCAGAGTTTGATTCCTCATCGAATTGAATCAAAATTAGGGAAAATAAACAAAATCTAAAGAAAACCAAGTTGAGGAAAACGGTAGGTTTGTTGAGGAAAACGGTAGAAAAGCCGAGTTTCATTCAGAAGGAGATTCAGTAGTGGAATTGATGAATAAGAGGAGAACACAAGAAGAAGAAGAAGAAGAAAGAAAGAAAGAAAGAAAGAAATAAAGTAAGAAAGAAAGAAAGAAAGAAAGAGTTTCCCCAAATCCTCAACTAAAAATAAGTTGGCTTAGTGCTTGAAATTGCTTATTTTTGCGTAAATACATTATTTTCCTTTCAAAAGCCTTTTATTCTTTTCATGTTTCAAGTTTATTAAGACTGAAGTAAAAATGCATCAATAGTTATCACAGAACGTGAATAGGGAAGAAAATAAGTAAAAATTTGAACCTGTTTTGTTTATAAATAGATATAAATAAAAGAAAAATAGATGGAAATGACAAGAGATTAAATGGGAATCGGAAAACTACCTTTATCGGCAAATTTAGAGAAAAATGGAGAAAAAAATTGGTGTCAATTCGAACTTTTTATTCTTTTGAAAAGATTTTCTTTCGGAAACAGATCTATCAACTTTGTCACCACCAATTGTAAATCGATTTTCTCAGCAATAAGCGCACCAATTCATCTCTACTTTGTTTCATTAGATAGCCTAGCATTTGATTTAGTAAAGCTTAGTAGTAGTAATTAGTAAAGGTATTTAGTAAAGCTTAGATTTAGAGCTGAACGAAATCAAATCAATTTCCTCTAAATTCTAACTTTCTCTGCCTTCAGCGAATGGAGATTTGTCAAATGCTAAAGGACAGAGACGTCTATAAGCTAAGAACAAATAAAAAATCTATTTAGATCATCTAAATTTTAATCAGCTTGGGGTTGTTGAGATATTGGGTTGGTGAATTGAAAACTGCCGGACTTTGAACTAAAATTTATTCAACATAAAACCATCAATTCATTCGAAATAATTTCCATTATTATTGACGACTTCTGCTCATTTTACAGGCAATTTGCGGATTCCTCTTTCGTAGTAGGACTTTGGTTTGTGTGTGAGACAAGTGTGAGACTCAAAAATGGAGGACTGGAGATGTCCCAGTGACCCAGTTTGAGCATTTTCTTCAAAAGAAACCCATTTTGGTGTCAATAGAAAAGTTGTAGTGAATCAAAAATGAGGCTTATAGCCAAAGTTCCAAAAAGACACACTTAGTAGTTTCGCTTAAAATGCAAGTTTTGTGAAAATTTGTAAATTTGGCATTCCTTGAAAACCAGTTTTTGAATCGTTCTGAAAATTTGGATATAAGCTTCATTTTTGGTTCTCTACAACTTTTCCATTGACACCAAAATGGGTTTCTTTTGAAGAAAGTGCTCAAACGGCGACATATGCCAATAACCCGCAGTTTTCAATTCACCAATCCAATAGTTCAAAAGGGAATCCTTCTATACCAGAACAATTTGACGGATGGCGATCGATTACGCATACACACAAAGAACACCTCGGCAGTTGTTTTTGATATAAGCTTGATTTTTGATTCTCTACAACTTTTCTATTGACACCAAAATGGGTTTCTTTTGAACAAAGTGCTCAAACTGTCACATATGACAATAGTCGGCAGTTTTCAATTCACCAACCCAATAGAAAAGCTTAATTTCACGAAATTTTAGTACAATGCCCAAGAATAAAACCCAGTTGTGACCGGGAAAATGAAAAACGATAAATTTCCCAGCCGATGCACATCATTGGATGAAGAAAGGAAATCCCGAAAAAAGGCAAATGGAATTTTGAATGCAAAAAAGAAATGAGTGGGATTTTGGGAAAAGAATGGGCGTCATTTTTGAACAAAAACCTGGATTTTCATACCCAAAACACTCAAAATCACAAATTTCACAAAATTGAGCTACAGTCGAACCTCTCTACAACGTAACTCACGGGACCGGCTATAGTTTACGTTATATAGAGGTTTACGTTATATCGAGGTTCGTTATATCGAGGTTCGACTGTATTTGGCTATTTTGGCTGACAAATGAACTGGCAAAACTTCGCCATTCTTATCTTATTTAAAGTTGAAACATCGAATTTTCAAAGTAAAAACTTTGACTTTGTGCCTAATTTAAAGTCACTTTAGCACTTGCAAAACGTTAAAAAAATCGTCTAAATGGTAATTTGAGGCAATTTCTTTGCTTCTTTTCCATTTTTGTGTACTTTTTTATGAAAAACCTTTTCGATTTCCGATTTGACGTGAAATTCCCCGAAATTCTCATGTTTAACAAGAGATTCGTGCAATTTTTTTGCTGAAATTTTTCACTTTCTAATTAGATTTTCGTTTTGTGAACTCGGGAAATTGTGGAAAAATGAAAGCAGACGAGAGAATAAAAATATTTGAATCTATTTAGGTACTGGAAAAAAAAGTTGAGTTTCAAGTTTAACGATAGAGATAGCACTGACCAAAATTTGTAGATATCGTTAGAGAAATAACGAACCAAATTTAGAGAGATAAGGAACCAAATTCGTAGAGAAAAGGAACCAAATTCAGAGATAAGGAACAAAATCTAGAGAGATAAGGAACCAAATTTAGAGAGATAGGGAACCAAATTCAGAGATAAGGAACCAAATTTCTAGAGATAAGGAACCAAATTTAGAGAAATAAGGAACCAAATTCAAAGATAAGGAACGAAATCTAGAGCGATAAGACAATTCAGCCGCTAGCGAATGATTGTTAAAGCCATTTTAAAGCGAAACGCAAATTTTTCCAGAAAATCGTTTATTCAAGTATTCAAGTCATTCATATTTACACGCCTAAAAAAGATCGATAAAGTTAAGTGATTAAAATCGTAAACTAAACCCGTATAAGAATTTGTTCTTTATTTTTCATTCTATATCGATTTCACATCGATTCCACAATGGGAGAGCCCTTTCTTTTGGCAAAAGAGCGCCTAATGATGAGGAGAAAAGATCGGGGATCAGTGAGGGAAGGGAACGATGGACTGCCAGGCGGATGTCTTCTAGCTGAAATTTGGATTCCTTTTCAAAGATAATCGTGATGGGATTAGATTTTTGTATACCATATTTTCTCTAATAGTAGTGCACCAAGAGCGTTGCCTAATTTGCTCGAAATCTCGAAAAGCGCATGCTTAAAATTCTCTCTAATACAGTGCGTTTTAAATTCTTAAACGCACCCTCTAAAATAGCGAATTTTGCATTTTGACCACCGCTACAACTATTAATCTTTTTCTATTAGAAAGAGCATGTCTTAAAACCTAAATAACACGAAAAATAAGCATACTGTAAAAAGTAAAAATTTTGCACCCTGAGCCTTGCCTAATTTGCTCGAAATCTCGAAAAGCGCATGCTTCAAATACCGTATTCTCTCTAATATTAATGCACCCAAGCGAGCCGAGTTGATGACGATTTTACCGCTTCCAAAGTTTTCACAGAAGCTCAACACTCAAATCCCCCACAAGATCTCATCGTCAGCTACATTTTCCGACCCCATATCGATAGGTTCTGATAAGCGGTTCTCTAGATTTCGAGCAATTTAGGCAACGCTCAGGGTGCACGATTATTAGAGAGAATACGGTAAAAGAGATAAGCCATTGACCATTCGACGCAGAATTTCACGCTGATTCCGAATCGGCTTTCCGTTTTTGCAAAATAACTTTCTATAAAAAGTTATGGCTGGAGTGCAGTTTACCCTCCCCCTCCTCCCCCACGAAAAGCTTCTGGACTTCTTGTAGATCAGGTTGGATCAAGACTGACTTCTGGTCGGGAAAGGCAAAAGTAGGATTTGATCAAATGAGATAACCCATGGACCATTCGACGCAGAATTTCACGCTGATTCCGAATCGGCTTTCCGTTCTGATAAGCGGTTCTCGAGATTTCGAGCAATTTAGGCGACGCTCAGGATGCACTACTATTAGAGAAAATACGATATTTAGAGATCCATACAGTTCTTTTAATCGATTTCCTAATTTCTTTTAATCGATTTCCATGTCTCCTTTCTATCGTAACCTTGTCTTCAATTTTTATCGAATCTATTCACTTTTTAGCTCTTTTAATATGCTTTTTTAGAAGAATTAGTGCTAAAAAGTGAATAGATTTGATAAAAATAGAGATAAGATTGAGAAAGATGGAAAGGAACACGATTAAAGAAACGATTAGAAAACGATTAAAGATACTTGAGATTATGGCCGATAAATCTTTGAACACTTCATTGAAATACCTATTTAGAAATAATGAATTCATCCATTGCCCTACGATTTGTTTCATTAGAAAACCCTGATATTTTTCTATAAAATATCGTTGAAATTTTAAGAAATCTTTTGTTTTTTTTTTGTTTGGAGGTGCCAACTCGACTCGATTACTCAATTTCGACACTTTGGCCTAAAGAAACCCCTTTTGATGTCAATAGGAAAAAGAAAGAGCGCAAAAAGTTCAGCTTATAGCCAAATTTTTAGAATAAACTCTTCAGCCAATGCCTTTATATCACCTTTTCTCGAATTTTACACAAAACGGGTTTATGCGGGCTTGGATTTACCTGGAAATGGGCTCAGATTAGCGTAAAGAGATAGAAAAGTGCTTAACCTTTTATTTAAAGAAAATTGGTAAACTTTTTAATTTATAAATATTTATAAAGAAATTGATAAAAAAGTCTTCAAAGATTTATCGGCTATTCTAATATTTTTGAGAATTCAGGTGAAATTTGAAACAGAAAGGAAACTGAAAGGTTGGAAATGCAGGAATTTGAGGGTAATTCTTCATATACGAGAGCTTTTCTAAGCTTTCGTTTGTCTTTATATTCAAAAATTTGATTACCTGATGACATCCAGACAACACCAACAACGTCTTCATTCCGTGTTTTCTTCCAAATAAAATATCAGTATTCATTCGATCGCCGATCATCATCGTTTTTGATGGATTGATCTTCCAGCTGGAAATTGAGAAAGTTTAAACTCTTTATTTTACGGAACATTAATAAAGTGTTCGACTAATCTTTTTAAAACAATACCGTTACTCTTTTTCTTTTAAAAATCGACTCACCGCCGACAAATATAGTTGAACGAGGCCGAGTTCGGCTTCCCAACGGTGATCGGCTCACGTCCAGAGGCACATCTAAAAACGGTTTTGTTTAGTGTTTATTATGCATCACGATGTCAGTAGAAAGTTTTAATTTTATGACAAAAGTCTCATGATGACTCAGAAATATCATGTAAATCATGAAATCGGGGAAAAGTGACAAAATATGAAAAATTTGCCCGACCAAAATCTTCACTTTCGCACCACAGAAACCCCCAGAAGCCATTAGAAATTCGGAGAAGCTGAACTGACTTTTTTTTAAACACCCTAGGCCCTTTCCACAGGCGTTTCTAGGCAAGCAACGGCGCAAAAGCAACGGCGCAAAAGCAACGGCGCAAAAGCAACGGCGCAAAAGCAACGGCGCAAAAGCAACGGCGCAAAAGCAACGGCGCAAAAGCAACGGCGCAAAAGCAACGGCGCAAAAGCAACGGCGCAAAATCAACGGCGCAAAATCAACGGCGCAAAAGCAATAGCGCAGAAGCAACAGCGCAAAAGCAACAGCGCAAAAGCAATAGCGCAACAGAGCAATAATTTTGTAAAAAGTAACTTAAAGTTGTTAACGTTGCGCGTATTAATAAGTGTTTTTCATTTTAATACTAGTGCTCATAAATATTGAAAGCCTTGTACAGCCTATAACCCACTTTACAGCGGCAACAATTGGCCCGGCATCGGGGATGACGAGTGATGGATCCGATGAGGGACACGTTTCGTCTTCGTTTGTCGCCACAAACAAAGTTTCCTCGTTTCTGGAAATCAAATTCAGAAGCTTATCGATAAAAGCAAGTCAATGCTTTTTTAAGAATTGATATTTATTGTCCGTTTTTGAAGAAAAGAAGAAAATCTTGTAGTCAATGCTATTGTTAAACGACTCTGCAAACCCTGTAAACCCTGCTTTGTAAGAAATTCGTTTAAGAATTGTAAGAATTTCCCATCCTACTGTACTCTGAAGATCTTTGGCTGACAGAGAATACGAAAACTTTGAGCTTTCCCATCTCTCACCTCAAATAATTCGTCGCTTTCAGCAGCTTTTGATAGTTAAAGAATTTCTCGTATCCAACCACCACAGCGCCGACGTTTTCTGGCTAAAAATACTTCTCAATTCGATCTTTTTTCTTTAATTTTCGCACCTTTTCCTCGAAATTCTCTTTGTGATTGAAGATTTGGAGGTTTTGAGGTAAAATCTTTTCAGGTCCATGCCCGAAAAAGTCAATCCCCGCACCTTTCAACTCATCTCTGAAGAGAAAAAGTTGAAATTATTGTTATTTTCACAATAGATAATAGATCTAAATATCTATAATCGATATCAAAAAATAATAGATGAAAATATGTTTCTTAAAATTTTCATTTCAAACCTAATCCCTTGCTCTCCGATCAGATAAACCTTTTTCTTCGTTTGTGGAAAACCGGCCCGGATAAGAAGATCCGTCAAGACAATAGCCGGATTAATCTAAAAAAAGGGAACAAATTGTTATTAAATTTGTTTTTTTAGTACTTTTAGGATAAATATTAAAGAGAATCTTATAGAAAGGGTTATCAAAAAATTCTGTTTCAAGTTTGATCACTAGAGACCAGTTTGACCACTAGAGACCAGTTTGACCACTCAATCCCTTTTAAGTACTTTAATCAATGATATTCAGTAGAAGGGAGCTAAACTTCAAATCAACGACAGAAATCTTAAATCTATAAAAAAAGCAGCACTGAACTCAATCTCTTTTAAGTACTTTCATCAATGATATTCAGTCTAATAGATATTCAGTCTTATCAAATAAATATCTTACTTTAGTGCAGACACAGGAACTAGACAGGAAAATTCCAAGCTGAACCTAATTCAATCTTCTGTTTTTTGGCCGTTTCTTGTCCGATTGCTTTGCAATTTTGTTTACAAGCTGAAGTTCTATTTGTAGACAAAAATCTCAAAGCAATTGGCCAAGAAAACAAAGGTGGAATTAGGTTCGGATTGGAATTTTCCCATGTCTAGTACAGATTTAAAAAATCTCGTTTCAAATTTTTTCATTACCTGCCAAACACTGGCAAATCAATTAAGGCAAATGAAGCGAATCTGGTATATCGAATTAGCTTTTTGGCTTATTCTTTTAGCTTTTTAGCTTTTTAGCTGCCTGTCTTTCAATTGCATTTAAACATTTGAAAATGAATCAATTTGATACATTTACTTTCAGTATACAATAGTGAAACAGACTGTTATTAGGATTTTAAAGTACTTGACGAAAGCCTGTTTCAAGTTTTATGGCTATACGCCTGGATAACTAGCCGTAGGATTTTCCAGAAAAAAATTCCTATTATTAATGTTAGAAATATTTCTCTAGCTATTGCTTCCTTTTTAAATGCCCCACCAAGACATCGTGTGTCAATTGCTCGGGGAAATTCAGCGCTCGGAGTTTCTCGTAAAACATTGGCCGAGATTTTGTCGCGTTGTTCGTTAACAGGAGCACGCGTTTACCCTAAAATGATTGAATTTCTTAAAAGAATAAGACATTTACATTTTCTTGATTTTCATAATCATCAAAGACATTTTCAAGGAAATATTTCAACTTGTGTTTCAATTTTGACGGGCGTAGATTGAAATTATGTATTTAATATATTGACTTTGGACTTGTTATTATTGTATGATATTAATATATGATATTAATATAGGATATTTTATTCCATTGCATGGTTAAGCTTCGAATTTTTCGTTTAAAGTCGTCAAATTTGAAACCAACAAATTTTTGGTGTTAAGTTAAGCCAAGTTTTCCTATAAAAATCGTTCTATCAGTAATTTCTTTTGCAATTTGACAATGTAACTAATGTTTTAAATGATCTATTGATATTGATAAGAAATTCTTAAAAACAAATTACGGTAATCTTTTTAATGATACAAAATATTGAAAGTATTTTTAGCGAAAACTTAACACCAAAAACTTGTTGGTTTCGAATTTCAAATTGACGGCTTTAAACGAAAAATTCGAAGCTTACAATGAAAAAAAATTGAAATCTTTTCTATAACTTTCTTTTCTTTTTTCTTTTTCTATAACTTATTCCTCAACAAATAGACAAAAACAATTAAAGATTCAAAGAAATTTAAAGCTGTTTCTAAGGTTTTTTCGATACTAAATATCGATACGACACAAAAATTTTTGAGTTTCAAATGGAGCCAATCAGTTTTCGAATTCTCATCAAGAAATTTGTTTAAGTTATAGCAAATTTTGAATAAAATCTTAAAAGAAACCTGTGCGAGTAGATTGTGAATGAATTCAGCCGAGCCTGGAATCGCGCTCCCGCCCAACCACAGCACACCATCCGCATCGAAAATGAACGTGTCAATGTCCTGGAAATGTTTTGTTTAACAAAAGATGAAATTGAAACAAATTGAAACAAAACTGAAATTTGAAAAAGCTGACAATCATCTGGAATTACTAGAATATACTAGAATTTAACTATTTTTTTTCCAGGCACTCTACATTGCAGCCAAATTTTGATGCTTAATTTTAAGTAATTTGAAACTCAATCTCTCTCAACGTATCAAATTTTTTTAAAATTTCTTAAATCTATCCCATTTTTATTGATATACTTTTAGAAATGCTCCGAGTTTTATGAAAACTTATTAACTTTTGATTTGTAAAGTTGTAATGAAGATTTTTTTTGTGATTGTCTTTTGATTTCCATATTGAATTGATCGATATTGATAAAGAGCGGTCGCATCCGTTGTTCTTCCTTTTTGCGTTCCTATTTTGCAATTATTCGCGTCGCATTTTTTCGTCTTTTTTTCTCTCTTCCCGAAATTATTTTTTTTTTATTTTGGCAGAGCTTCTGGTCCTTTTTGGGGCTGGGGTTTTTGCCTTCGTTCTTGGGGGACTTTGATGTTTCTATTCATGCGCATGCTGTTTTTGTAATGGGTATCGTTGCATTTTTTGGTTCTGTACTAAAAACAGTAAAATTATAAATTCAATTGACTTTATGCTACCCTTCAGTTTTTGAATTCTGTTTAGATAGCTGGTTTAACATTGTAGAAAGAATTTACTAACATTTGTGTCGCCATCGACGAAATATCAATCCTTTCTGTACTCTTATCACGAGTATTAACCTTATTTTGGATGCTGCGTGTTCTTGTTATGTTGTAAGCGTTTTGGGGAAACCCTTTTAACCTTTTTGTCCTACACGGCTATTCTGAAGCAAAGTCATCCCCTATGATAAGGCTAAAGCGGGTCGCACTTTAAACTGAGCCATTAAATTTCTGTTTTAAGCCAATTTGACAAATAAACTGTTGATTTCTTATTTAATTTTAAGAAATTCTCTTCAATTCTTTTCAACTCTCACCTGCAAAAGCCGAGTGCTGTTCGAGGCGGTGGCTTGCTGAGGCCAAGACGGAGTGGAATCGTCGACAATTCGCTTGGGCCACGTCTGATATGGATTAACGACATTATTTTCCTATCTATTTATTCTATTTTATCGAATATTTCATTTCTTTACTATGTTTGTTTTATGATTCACCTCTTTAAAGGAGGGAAACGGCGGCAATTGGGTAGCCGTTTCACTTGTCATTTCAAATTTCGGCATCTCAAGGTTCGCCGCTAGCACACTGCTACTGGCTCGTCTAATAATAAATCATTTTTTCAAAAGAATTCTCGAAATTAAACCTATAACATATCGTCAACAATTCGAGATGACTTTTCTTTGATAACATCGCTGAAAATTTGGTTATAATTTGGTTTTAATTTGGTTATAATTTGGTTTTAATTTGGTTATTAAGCACAAAAGAGAAAATTGAAAGAAAATGAAATGAATTGAAATGAAATCGAGTTTTGAAATCAGAGATTGAATACAAATCATGGTGGCTAGTTGATAATCTTTGAATGGAAAAAGAAAATGAAAAGATTCTCAACTTCCAAAAAGGATGATCACTTGCTTTAGACCAAACCAATTGTTGACTTTTGGCTTAGCTTGCTTTTGATTCACTTGATCAGATACACCAAATTCATTTGATAAATAGAGTTTTCAAACGTGATTTCAATCTGAATTCAAGTTTTCTGAAGATATCTCACAATAAAATCAATTATTAATCGGAAATCAGCATCAAAAATTTCTTTCAGATGCACTTGAAAATTGTTCACTTTCACTTGTTTAAGTTTTAAGTTTAAGTTTTAAGACACAATTAAGTTTAAGTTTACAATTTGCAATCATCTCACACTTTATTTTAATAAATAATTTCAATATTTTTCTATTGTGGATTCTTAGGTTTAACGAAAAAAACGTTTTTTCTGTCTTTTTTTTGATAGAATCTCAAAGTTGAAAGTGAGAACTTGGAGAATTTAGCAAAAAAATTTGGTGATCATGAACGTTTCAGCGCTAAATTTAGTTCTATTTCGCTACATTTACCTTAAAAGTTAAAGATTTACATTTAAAAGAAAGTGAAAAATGAAAAATGAAAAATTTCGGTCGACAGGATCACCTTTTGACGCTTTGTCTCATTTGGAAAACAAGGTTTTTAAAATCGGAAAACATCAAGACTGTTGAACATCAAGATCAAGCTCCTAGAAGAGAATTGATTGCTTTCACGAAGTTTTTATGTTCATTTGAATCGTATTCAATTTGTGAGGCTTACTTTAAGCCTAATTTAAAAGTCTTTAAAAGTCGAATTTTAATTCTATTCATATTTGATTCAAAACATGAAATAAAGCGTAGCCAACAAGACAATAAGATATTCAAAGAGAGAAAAAGAAAATTTTTAAAACCACGATATAATATGGGATCAACTTTTAATAAGTTTTCAATTTTTATCGATTCAAAATGCAGTCATCAATGTAAAGGCTCAATTTATTTTATAAATTTGATAAAAAGTAATGCTTTCTTAAAAGTGTTTACATTTGAAATATCTCTAATATTGGATGGAAGAGCAGTCCAACCATCAACAACACGATTAGAGAAAAAAAATTCTGGCTTATTTACACAAAACTAATTGTTTATGCGGAAGAAAAGGCCCTCACCTAGCTCCGGATCGCCTGTTTTTGAGGGGGAAAATATTTATAAATAACGGGACTGGATGGATACCTTTGAAAACTTTGACAATTTTAAAACATTCTACTAGATCAATAATAAGATTGAAGAGATTGAAGAGATTGAAGGTCTTAAAGAGATTGAAGAGATTGAAGGTTTTTGAAAAGAGATTGAAGATTAACAATTTTTAATCTATTCTTATACCTAAGAGAGGAGTATTTAGTAAAATCTACCTTGTCAGCTCCGAGCCAAACTGATATTTTAGTTACTATTGTTATTATTGAATGATTTGTCTATTCTTATGCAAATGTGTTCTCCCCTGTGCTTATCCCTTTCATTGTCGAGAAGGGGCGGTCCTTGAGACTGCCTAGGAGGACAAATGAGACTCTCATTTGGAGTCCCCCCTTCCCCTTACACTCATTTGTAATCTATTCATCTTATTATACTACTGTAAATAAAGATACGTATCTTCCGGGTCTATGCAACTGCAGTACAGGTCGGTCATTTCACAGGGACTCCCCTCTAATACGTTGGAGGAGTTGAGTTGGGTTGTCGGGGTGTTAGAGATGGCGGGATATCAAAAGGGATCCACTCTCTTTAACTTAACCCAAATTCTAGTCCACATCCGTTTATACCTAGGAACGCATAACCTTAAAGACGGCTACACGAGTAAAATGTTCTTGGATTTTTTCGATTTTAGCCATAAGAAAGGAAGAGGACGATAAGAGAAGCGTATTCAAGAATTAATTGTTACCTTTCGATTCGTTTGATATTGTTTAAAAAGTATTGTAAAAAAAAGCGTTTAAACAAATGCTCAATCTTTGGCGTTTTCTGGAAATCAAAAATTTGCCAAAAACTAAAAACAAGCGAACTTTAAGGTTCGATAAAAAAAGGCAAAAAGAAGTTTTTTCGGTAAACCTAAGAATCCAGTGTAGAAAAATATTTCGATTTTCTATTAAAACAAAGTGTGAGATGATTGCACATCTGAGTGCTGAGTTACTCGCAAAATACCGAATTCGGGTAATTATTGAATACCTTGTACTCAAAAATCTCAAGAATCATAGTTCTGTCTGGCTGTGAGATTGAGGAATTGAGATTTCCAGAATTTTTTTGCCCAAATTTGCAAAAAAAGGACCCGCAAGGAGGGAAAAAACGCGGTGATAAAGGGATTTTCGGAACTTTTGGAAAAGATAATCGAGGTTTTTGTGAGTCTATTCTTGGCCATAAAATGACCCTTGACACTGAGAAAAAAAAGAGGGAAAGTTGAAAATGAAATTGGGGAAATGGGTGATTGAAATGAGAATGAGAATGAATAAACAAAGAGAAAACGATTATGGTTTTGGATACACGAAAAAAGAGTGATATAAATTGGTGAAGAAAAAAGTTGTTGGATCTGGAGATTAACGGAGGGAGCCAATTTTTTTGGCCAACTTGCAACCCGATTTTAGATAGGTTTTTGCTAACAACTTTTGATCAAACAAATAGTTTCTGAAAGCTGACGTTTTAAGCTATCTAAATCTTATTAAAACTTTCTGATCTCATAAGTTTAAAGTGCTTAAAAATGAGCTGGAAATTGGCCAAAAAATTGGCCAATAGCTTCCGCCGTTAACCGTAAAGATTCAAGTTGTTTGTGGCAAAGAAACGCCAAAAATATCATTGTAAGGGCCGTTTCAACTTATCAAATCAACTTATCATTGATTTGAAATTGTTTCATTAAATCCTTGAAAAGTTAAAATAAATTATTAATGAGAATCTACTTTTGTCTTTGTAAAAAAAAAATTAATTTGAAATTTTTAGATGAAGAACAACGGATTGCTTTTATTTATAAAAATAAATATTTTATTTGAGATTTTTTTGAGTGAAAGCAATGATAAGCAATGGATTAAGCATTCTTTTGATTCAAGCTAATCAAGTTGAACCTTTGATTCTAGATTGATCATTTAAACATAAAGAGAAATGATGAGAATGTTTTTAGCTAAAAATTATATGATTGATTAATGATTTCTATTATTTTCTCGTTTCTTTCTTATTGACAATGACGAATGGAAATTGTTTTTCGGGTTTTTTTCTCAAATAAACCAAAGGATTTCTTTAATCAAAGCGGATTCAGTGAAAATGGGAAAAGAAAGAACTGGAATAGATCAGTGAAAACAATGTTTCTCTGCTAGAAAAGTTGATTGAAAGGCTGATTTCTTTGAACTTTTGGTCTATAGTTAGCAATTATTGGAAAATTATATGAGAATTTATACAGAGCTAACAGAGAAATGTTCGAAGTTCGTAAGAAAAGGGAAAAAAGTCGAGTTTCAGCTGCCTGAGCTGCCTGAGCTGCCTGCTTGCCTAAGCTGCCTGCTTGCCTGAGCTGCCTACTTGCCTGAGCTGCCTGCTTGCCTATCATCTAAAGGATCTAAGAAACTATAGATTAGCTAAGATCTAAGAAGTTAACCTAAGGAAATATGAAACAAACAAAAAAAAATGGAGTTCATATTGCTAATCGAATCAAAATCGATCTCAAAAATCGCCCTCCGAACAGTCACATGGCCTCTTGAAGGAAAAAAAGGGAAAATCTGACCCCAGCCTAGCTCGTTTTTTGTGAGAGATTTTGCACAGAGAAATGGACAAAAATGGAGGGCAAAGAGAGAAATTTGGGCAAAACGGGGAGGCGGAATTCGTTGAAATCACGCGTTCTTGTCCACTTTTTTTTTGCCCCCACTCCCTTTTTTGAACTAGACCATTTCCCACACAACAACCAAACAAACATCGGAAAGATTTTGGGAATGGATCGAGATTATCACAAGGAAATGGGAAAATGATTGAAGTTTTTCCAAAATGTCACACAAATCTTGCATGCAACTCTACGGTAGTCGAGAAAGGAGAGATCAAAAATGAAGTAGAACAGATGTTAGTTGAAAACTGAATACTTTTACGTAGGTATACTGTAGTTAGACTCATTGTATAGTTACAGTAATATCTACTATCTAAATATAGCCGAAAAATTGATTGCCTTTCTAGAGTTTGTTGTTTAAAAGAAATGTCCACCTGAGCAACCTACATTGAAAAGTTGTATCTCTAATCCTGTTCCGATTTTTGTTGTATATGTTGCGTCGGATCGAGTATTGGATGTCCCATCCAGGATTGCTCCTGGATGGGACATCCAATCCTAGACATCCAATCCAATCATTTAAACCTAGATCGGACGTCCGATCTAGGTTTAAATGCAAATTTTTATAAAATGTATTTTCTTTTCTTAACAACTAGACAATTAATCTATATTTCTGTCCAGATTAATCATTTTTTAATAAAAGTCCTTCACTTGGAGCAGTTTTTGAAGAAAGTTTTAGATCATACGCACGCCACTACTATCTCCTACTCAATTAGACCACCTTTTCCTTTTGTCTTTTATTTGAAACAAACAATAATGATTATTTGTTCTGTTATTATTCGTTGTTTTAAATAAATTTAGAGAAGATTGAAAAATGATCTAAATCTCTCTTTAAAAACTGCTCCAAGTAAAGGACTTTTATTAAAAAATGACTGATCTGGACAGAACTATAGGTTAATTGTCGAGATGTTAAGAAAAGAAAATAGATTTCATAAAAATTTGCATTTAAACCTAGATAGGACGTCCGATCTGGGAGCAATCCTGGATGGGACGCAACATATATACATTGAAAGCATCCCCCTTGCCCACTCAACTGAATATCTTCTAGTTTTATGGGGAATTTCAAACAAGAAGGGCAGCTATGAAAAATCTGCGCAGAAAAAGGGGCGGGCTTCGTAGCTTTCGTAGCTGCCCAATTTGTTTGAAATTTCCCACAAAATTAAAAGATATTCAAATAGAGCTTAGGGTGATACTTTCAATGTACTTGTTTAGCAAGTCAGGTCCGCGTTTTTGGCATTTCAGTGTAGAGTTTGTGTTAAGATAGTACCAAGATGAGATGAGTTAACAAATATAAGACCAAGATAAAGTTAACGGAAGGATTTGAATTAAAATTAGATTAATGTTGATGAGCAGAAGAGAAATGCGCTTTAGCAATGACATAGAAAGCCGAGTTTCAAAGCAAACCGCCTGTAGCCAAGATATCGACCACTAATAAAAATTCATCGGCTCAAGTGACACAGTAAAGTACAGTAGACTTGATAGGTTAAATAGATACCATAGTTTATTTGAACCGTAATCTCCTAGTTCAGGTTATAAATAAAGGCAATAGCAAGGCAAGGCTGAATTTGAAACTAAAGTTGATGAATTAGTAGAAATTTCTATTTCAAAATCACCGCTCCAGACAAAATGTCACAAAAGTTCATCGAAATGATAAAATTTCTCTCAATTTTCAAAAGTTCTTTTTCTTTTTTACTGGTTGAGTTGAGTTTCTCTAGTTAGTGATTCGTTTTCATTTCAAAGAAAACCTTTTTTTTGTTTTTCTTTCTCCTTTTTGGGGGTCAGCACGTGCATGTGAGTGGAAGTGACAGAAAAGGGAAAATTTTGGAGATTTTCTAGTTTCCATAGATTTTCCTACAAAAATTTGACTGATCCGATTATTCTGTGGTGTTCGATCGGATTTATTTTCCGCTCAAAAAAAAAACGTGGTTTCGTTTTTCTGGTCGCTGATAAAAATTGGTGATTACGGGGCAATAAAGTTCGCAAAATTTCCCGGGAAAGTTGGAAATTGAAAATTTTTTAATCGGGATTGGGATTTTGAAGAGATTCGAAAAGGACAAAGAGCTTTGTTGTGAATTTAGCAATATTAGTGTTGAGCAAGCATTTTTTTGGAACATAAAGCGAAAATTGAATAAAAGAAATTTGAGAATTTGTTATGCAAGAGTTTTTCAGCGAATAAAGAAAAGCATGAAGATTGATGGTCAGATCGGCAAAAAAATCCCAACTCGGGACGATGCTTGAGTTAAACGACTCGAGAAATGGTGAAATTCAAGAAAACAAGAAAGTTATATGTGGGCTTGACTCTTGGGATAAAACAGAATAAAACGATAAAACGACCCAGGATAAAACAGTATAAAACGGTGCGCAAAACTGTTAGAGTTTTTGATATCGGTGTTTGTCTCAACCTGATAAGCAAATCTGGTTTCCAGCAAGTCGAGACCAAGAATCAAGAACGTGAAAAGAAACGGGACGAAAGAAAATGAATGCAAGAAACACGTTCATTTCCTCCATTCTTTTCCCCAATCCAAAATTTGAGTGCTCGGAAATCATCTCGGGAAAAGAAAAAAAACGAGACAAAGAAAGACAAAAAACGAGCAAATAGACAAAAAAAAGTGGGAAACAATACCCTTTTTGGAGAACATTTATTGCGTTTATCGAGTTATTGTATCACTCATTGTTCTCAACTTTTTCAGGGGATTTTTGAAGATTAGGGTGAACTTTGGACTGCACGTCTTTGTTTCTTTTGAGGCATTAAACCTGGTTTTGGATGTTGAGAAAAGAAAAAGAATTGGAAAAAGTAACATTTAAAATAAATGCAAAAGTTTGAATACCTGTTTCAAATCATTTAACGCTACTCAGGGGAACAGCTGAATCATTTTGTACCTTTACACATGTATTTCTTTAACTTTGCTGGGCAAAAAATCATTTTTGCCAAAAGTTTGAATTGCCTAGGCCGTGTTTCCGCGGGTGGCTACTTTGCTATTTTTCTGTAAAACTCGTCTTGACATGTTGAAATTTTCACTGGGGGTTTTTGATGATACTGAATCGATTGGTGATACTTTCAAACTATGATTTCTTGTTTTGATGTTATTACACATAGGCCCGGCTTGGATATTTTTTTTATTTTTGATGCTTTTTCCTCAGTTTTGTAACTTTTCTTAAGTTTTTCTTTAGTTTATGGTGCAAGCAGTTTTAGCAGCGGCGGCTAGGCTTGAATTTAAGGCGTTTAATCTCTTAAGAGAATGGCTCAAACTCGCGATAAAGAGTGACATGGGTTTCGATGATTGGCTGGCCGATATGGAACTGCTTTAGAAAGATCGAGCTTGCTCGAATTGAGCATCAAAAAATATCAAAGCTGGACCCATGTGTAATAACATCAAAATAGCAACAAATCATAGTTTGAAAATATCACCAATCGTTTCAGCATCATCAAAAACCCCCAGTGTAAAATTTCAACATGTCAAGATGATTTTACAGATTGCCCCCCACCCTCAACTACCTTTGCACCGGCCAATCTTTATGATTTTGGTGTCACTTTTGTTGCACTTGTTGGGAGCTACAAAATGATATCAAGATCATAAAGATTGGTCCATTTAGACGAAAATTAAGATCCAGTTGCGCAAAGTAGCCACCCCCGTGTTTCCGGGCAGTACCATACTGCCATGCGGGTAAACAGTTATTTTTGAGTAAAAAAAGAGCGCTGACATGCAATACTTAAAAGATTTATGTTTAAAACAGCCATAAACAGCTCTGTTGATTGTTTTAAGTTTAAAATTTAGACAACTTTGTTTTGCTTCCTTGAACAAATCTACTTTTCCCTATTAATGTCTGCAAACAAGGCCCAATCCCCCTTTTGCACAGCTCTTTCTCGCTTAAAACGCAACAAAACGACCGAATTTCTCCCCTTTTCCGGTGCCGCGTAGTTGAATTTTGATTTACTTTCCCGTTCAACCTTGTTTTCTTACAAGTTCTTTGTTAAAATTGCATTTTTCTAGTAAATCGATGTCACGAAGTTATTCGCGTGGACATCGATCATCGAGGAAAAATGCTAACAAGGAAAATGATCCGATGATGGCCACCGCGTTAACGTCATTCGTGCGTCGGGAGTTCATAGAAAGAAAAAAGGTTAGTTGCACGTTTTTGAAGCTATTAGAACTAAATCTAATAAAATATGATGATCAAATTGTTAATTAAAGCTTGGAGTTTGTTATTGAATAGCTTTTTCTCGGAGTATGATATAAAATTTTAGTTTAAATGCTGAGAAGCTAGCTTGTTCAATGTTTTGGAAAATAACAAGCATTGTGATAAAATTTCTTGTCATGCTTAAGCTTTTTATTTAGAGCTCGATGTCGAGAAAACGGCCGCTGATCGAGCGGGAGCCCGATTGTTCGGCGTTTCCTTTTCTAGGATATCAGGTTAAGTTGCATTCGCAATTCCTTAATTGCTCAGCTTAGGTTAATCTACCCTATGGAATTCAACCGTACACAACTCAAAAAAAGATGATCGTTAAGATTTTGATGGGATTGAATAGGAAAGAAAATGTGATGATCGAGAGTCCGACTGGAAGTGGTGAGAACATTGGAGTATACTTGCAAAATTTATCAGACTAAACTTTACTGTGCTGAAACTAGAAAGTATTAATCCTAATTTTAACATTTGCATGCTTAACTTGGTACCTCCACATTTGTTTTTAGGAAAGACCCTGGGGCTTCTCTCTTCGACATGTGAGTGGCTTTGCAAGCATAAACAGCGTTACTCCGAATCGGTCTACAGTTGCCCACAGCATGGAGAAAATGCTGGAGCTTATGGTTTGTTGTTAGGACTGCACTAATCCTTTTGAGTATAGATGTCAGTATGCAATCTATCGGTGACGTTTTGAAAGAAAAGACAAACGAATCACAAGCTTTGAACTCAGACAAGGTTAGCATTAAATATTGTCCTCTTAAAAACTTTTTTTAGAAACCTGAAGCCAGCAGTTCTGGCATTGATGAGTTTGGTGATGAATCACGGGATATTTTTGACGACAGTCCAGTAGAAGAACCAGATATTTTAACTAAAGGTGATTAAGATAGTTTTTATCGCACGGCAAAGATATTTAGCTATTGCTCAATTCGATGAAGACCAGAATGCAACCTTCTCGGTTAGTCTCATTTGCCAAATAAAAACTTTTTGACTTTAGAAGTTTATGGCTTCGCAAGTAGATGAAATAGAGAGTTTGAATAAAACTGTAAACGATTCGTCTATTCAACAGCCAGCATGCACATGTGAACCGTAAGTAACAGTAATTTTTAGGTCAAATGTTGTAGAAGTACTCATGAAACGGTTAAGCATTGAAAATCAGCCACGCTTTTCAGACGAGTCCGTGTTTATTATGCATCAAGAACACATCGACAAATCGCTCAAGTTGTTAAAGAATTCTCGCGATTGGTTTATGGACATCGTTTGCGGTTGTTTGCGATAGTATTAACAAAAACATTTCAATCTTTAGACACACGATTCTTGGATCTCGAGAACAGCTTTGTGTAAATGAGGGAGTTCGAGCTTCGCACGATATGACATCTCGTTGCAAAGAGTTGCTCACCAACGAAAATGGGGTTGTTGCTATTTGAGTTGATTTATTAAAAATAACTTAGGTTGGTTGCTCGTTTCGAGAAAAACTTAAAGCCAACTTCCCGCAAAGCTCACCAAAAGCGGCTGCTCGAATGCGTGAAGAGGTCTCGATCACCGCACCAAAAGTTTGGGATGTTGAGGTAAAAAGATGAAAGTCTTATTCATAAACAGTTGGCATTAGTAATGGTACTAAAAGACCTCGTTTTCTTGTCTAATTGTAGTTTTAGGATCTACGAGAAGCGCTCACATCCGACCACCGCTCGGGAATGTGCCCATACTTTACTGCAACACGACTTCTCACCGTTGATTCAGACATCATCTTCTGCCCTTTCTCATATTTGATTGGTTTGGAATAATTTTTGATTAGTAATGGCTCACTTTAGATCCGATCATTCGCGAATCGTCAGATGTTCATCTAAAGAATAGTGTCGTCATTTTGGATGAGGCGCACAATGTGGAAGACTTTTGCAGGTTTAGAAGTTTGCTGTTCTAAGAAAATATATTCTTTAGGGAAGCCGCTTCGTTTCAATTCACCGATCGAGAAGCTGTCAATTCTTGCCATTCAGTGGCTGAGAAATGTAAGTACAATGGAAAAACGTTAAACTTTGTTGAATTTAGGTATGGAGATCGATGTTGCGATCAAGCACATGAGCAAAGAGCAAGCACAAACGGAGGAAGTGTTTGCGATGGAATCCTCGACGGTGGCACAGGCACGAGATCAGTTGAATCGATTGGGCGAATATCAGAAGAATTTGAATATTGTAAGTTATGAACAATGTGCAAATAGCTAAATTTCCTGAGCCTTCTGAAGTATTTAAAAGTCAATCAAGCTTCGTTTAGATGCATCGCTACCTTTCGGCAATGCACAGCTGGATTCTTGACATCTCGAATTCAGTGAGGCAGAATTGCGAGAATTCGGAGCAAACGCAACGACAATCTCAACGAGGAGGAATCTTCAATGCATGGGGAGCTAGTCAAGCCTCAACACAATGGGATTCAGGGAAACGGGTAATTGAACGTAGAGGGTTACCCATATAACTTTCAACTTTAGTTCTCAAATACGAAGCACTTTGCCGATCTTTATGCAAGTCTTGAGCGGCATCAGCTTTTGTTAATAGAGGAGAAACTTGCGGAAACTATTAAAGTGAGAACTCTACGAACCTCCTTAAGAAAGTAAAATTTCCTTTAGGGGTCGTTTGCTGGAGTTGTAAAGACGACGGTGACGGGCGATGAAGCTCAAGGAGAGAATCAGGACTTTTTGCTGTCGAAGTTTAAGGTTTGGGGAGCTTTAATTGATTCAAAAGTTTTATTTTTTAAGCCAAGTTCCGAGGCGATCGTGTTTATGGAGGTATGTGGCTTGATTTTTTGCTACTAAATGGATCAAATTTTAGAAAATGCTTCATTTCCAAGCGTTTTTCTTGCTGGAGGGATGCCGTGCAGCTTATAGGTAAAGTTGGACCATGTTTTACTAGAACTTTTAATATCTAGGCTGAATATTGCAATGGAAGAGGAAAACTCGGATGGTTTTGCCACACAAAAGGGTTACATGGAACAAGTGGGAGGAAAAAAGGTGTTTAGTCAATTTAAAGTTTTATATTCGTTGGTTCAGGATCAAGCGGGCTTTTTGTCGACTCGAAACCTGATGGGAATCAAAGTTCCAGAGAAACCAAGGGTGTTAGATGGATGGAAAGCAACGATTGGACTGTGGTGTATGAGTCCGTCTTTGGTGAGCTGAATGTAGAAGTGATAAAAGTAAAAAGGAAGCATTTTAGGCTTTTCAAGGAGCATTCTCGACGACTAGATCGGTAGTTCTGGCCTCGGGCACACTCACTCCATCCGAATCTTTTGAAGCCGAATTGGGAATTCCTTTTCAGTAAGGCACTTCAGCATTGAAGTTGGGCAAATTGAGATCCTAGACATAAACTCGAAGGCGAACAAGTAGTCCCGGAAGAGCAAATCTTTGCCTCGGTTGTGAATACGGTTGGAGTAGACATTCTTTTATGAAAACTCTGTTTTAGGGCCCAACTGGTCATCAATTGGTTGCCACATATAACAACACATCAGGCGAAAACAGTATATTTGCACAAGAGATTGCTAGGATTTGTTTGTTAGTTAAAAGTATATTTACAATCGATGTTTTGAATTTTAGGTCAATCTCTGAACGAACGCCTGGCGGAGTTTTATGTTTCTTTCCATCGTATCGTTTGATGACAAGTGTTACTGGTGTAATGGATCGAATGGGATTGATGAATAAATTGCGGGATGTTAAAGTGAAGCTTTCCATTAGGATTAGTCATTTTTCTTTTTAGGCAGTCTTCTCGGAGCCGCGACGTTCCTCGGAATTGGGACCGGTGATGGAAGAATTCAATGGAACCGTGCGCAATCCGAAGAAATACAGTCCAAGATGCACAGGGGCGATCATGTTTGCTGTTTTCAGAGGAAAGGTGAGCAAATATTTGCTTTTAAAGAAAAACCAGCTCCGGTCTTAAAATAAACTTTTACTTTTAGGTTAGTGAGGGAATTGATTTCACGGATGAGCTGGCTCGATGTGTCATTTCGATCGGCATCCCATTCCCGAACACAAAAGATGATCAGGTAATTTAAAATCTCTTTAAAACTTATAATTCTCTACTAGGTGCTGGAAAAGAAGAAATTCAACGACGAGCGCAAAACAAAATGCCCATCTGATGTGACATCAATTTCGGGTGATGCTTGGTACACGATACAGGCTTATCGAGCATTGAATCAAGCACTTGGACGGTTTGTAGATTGCCCTTTTAAAATTTAAACGCATCTTTAGGTGCTTACGTCATCGAAACGATTGGGGAGCGATCGTTTTGGTGGATCAACGTCTTTCGCATCAACTTTCACCAGAAGCACCAAACAAAATATCAAGGTAGGGTGGTAGATCTTTAAGCAAAATCTTAAGTGTGGATTATTTTTCAAATTGCAGTCAATTATAATCTTATCTTCTTTAGATGGATTCGAAAGTGTCTACGCGGCTACGGAAATTATGGGCAATTCGAGCGCGAGTTGACGAATTTCATGCGAGAGCGCGAGACGCTTATGAGTGGATGTCCGGATGAATGAGAAAAGGAAAAATACATGGAGTTGTTATGTTTTTGCTTTTAAAAAGTTTTGTTAGCATTTGGCTTATCTTTTTCATTGGTACATTGTTATGCTTGCTTTGCGTTATCATTTCTCGTGCTCGTGCTAGTCTATTTATTAATAAAAGTGATATCAAGGATGTGTTTTGTAAATTGTTGGTGCAAATGTTACGAGTACTTTGTGTCTTTAGGTAATAATTGGTTCGCTTGATGCATTTAGGGTTTGCTTTCACGCCGATTTGGTGGTCAAATTTGCCCCTTTTCCCCATCCCCATTTTTTCACACATGGGACACTTTAAGGGGACACTTAGGGCGGCAAAAGGGGGACACTCGAAATGTATAATTCAAGACTCATTTGTTGTCGTTTCTATCCGGTGCCTGCTGTACCGTACCGTACGTCACTGTATAAAAAACTCGTTCTCGCCTTGTTGCTGGAAAAATTTTAGTCTAGCCGAGTGTCCGTTATATCTCTGTTGAGATAAACTGAACAGTCTAATTTCGCGAAGATTATGCTGTATCAAAGTCTTAAAACAATTTGCGTCTTTAAACGGGGTGAAATAACGAATAAACTTTTAGTTTTTGCGAGCTTTCTGTTTTTTTTACATGTCAAGGTAACCTTCATCTTTTTCAGATCCGTCATGGAGTTTTCGGATGTAACCTGCAGAGTCGAATGCCTTGAATCGGTTGGTGAAACGTATATCGGGACACTGCTTATTGGAAACGATTTTCTCAACATCACTGATTGCCATGATGAGACAAAGGTAGGTGAATGAAAAGTGTGACTAGATGCTATATATCTATTTTTTTTGTTGTTGAAGCCTTTAAAAAATTTTCAGAATTTCGGCGTCCCCACAGCGGCTTTCTGTCTCGAGCCGAATTCTGTACGTAATTGGCGAGCGCTTCGTCTTAAGCCCGTGGAAACCGTTTTGTAAGTTTTAGATTTTTGGTACTACTAGAAAAGATTTCGTATTTGCTTCATCAGGCGGTATTTTGCTTCTAGAACAATCGAATGCCCACTTTAGAAGCTTAACATTTTTGTTACTAGGCATAATCTAACAACAAGTTCAAAAACGAATCAATCACGAACGTTTTTATTTTAGTGGACCGGAAGATGCGGAGATCAAACAAGTGTCATTTCAACACGAGGATCCCGACACAATGCGAACGATGCAAGTTGTATTCGAGGGATGTCACTTGGGTGGGGAGTTTAAGAGTTGGCTTTGACTTTTTCGATGTTTTAGGCGAACGATCGGCTACACCTCCCC